ACAGAAATCAGTTGTATTTCTTTACACCAACGACAAGACAGAAGAAAGAGAAATTAAGCAGTCAATCCCATTTACAACTGCACCCAAATCTATAAGATACCTAGGAATAAACCTAACTAAAGAGGCTAAGAATCTATACTCAGAAAACTATAAAGTATTCATGAAAGAAATTGAGGAAGCCACAAAGAAATGGAAAAATGTTCCATGCTCCTGGATTGGAAGAATAAATATTGTGAAAATGTCTATGCTACCTAAAGCAATCTACACATTTAATGCAATTCCCATCAAAGTACCATCCATTTTTTCAAAGAAATGGAACAAATAATCCTAAAATTTATATGGAACCAGAAAAGACCTCGAATAGCCAAAGGAATATTGAAAAAGAAAGCCAAAGTTGGTGGCATCACAATTCCAGACTTTCAAGCTCTATTACAAAGCTGTCATCATCAAGACAGTATGGTACTGGCACAAAAACAGACACATAGATCAATGGAACAGAATAGAGAGCCCAGAAATAGACCCTCACTCTATGGTCAACTAATCTTCGACAAAGCAGGAAAGAATGTCCAATGGAAAAAAGACAGCCTCTTCAACAAATGGTGTTGGGAAAACTGGACAGCCACATGCAGAAAACTGAAATTGGACCATTTCTTTATACCACACATGAAAATAGACTCAAAATGGATGAAGGACCTTAATGTGAGGAAGGAATCCATCAAAATCCTTGAGGAGAACACAGGCAGGAACCTCTTCCACCTCAGGCGCAGCAACTTCTTTCTAGGAACATCGCCAAAGGCAAGGGAAACAAGGGCAAAAAGGAACTACTGGGATTTCATCAAGATAAAAAGCTTTTGCACAGCAAAGGAAACAGTTAAGAAAACCAAAAGACAACTGACAGAATGGGAGAAGATATTTGCAAAAGACATACAGATAAAGGGCTTGTATCCAAAATCTATAAAGAGCTTAGCAAACAACACCCAAAGAACCAACACTCCAATCAAGAAATGGGCAGACATTTCTGCGAGGAAGACATCCAGATGGCCAACAGACACATGGAAAAGTGCTCCACATCACTCGGCAACAGGGAAATACAAATCAAAACCACAATGAGATACCACCTCACACCAGTCAGAATGGCTAAAATTAACAAGTCAGGAAATGACAGATGCTGGCCAGGATGCGGAGAAAGGGGAACCTCCTACACTGTTGGTGGAAATGCAAGCTGGTGCAACCACTCTGGAAAACAGCATGGAGTTTCCTCAAAATGTTGAAAGTAGAACTACCCTATGACCCAGCAATTGCACTACTGGGTATTTACCCTAAAGATACAAACGTAGTGATCCAAAGGGGCACCTGCATCCGAATGTTTATAGCAGCAATGTCTACATTAACCAAACTATGGAAAAAACCTAGATGTCCATCAACAGATGAATGGATAAAGAAGATGTGGTATATATACACAATGGAATACTAAGCAGCCATCAGAAGAAATGAAATCTTACCATTTGCGACAACGTGGATGGAACTAGAGGGTATCATGCTTAGCGAAATAAGTCAATCGGAGAAAGACAACTATCATATGATCTCCCTGATATGAGGGAGAGGAGATGCAACATGGGGGGTTAAGGGGGTAGGAGAAGAGTAAATGAAACAAGATGGGATTGGAAGGGAGACAAACCATAAGTGACTCTTAATCTCACAAAACAAACTGAGTGTTGCTGGGGGTAGGGGGGTTGGGGGGGGTGGTTATGGACATTGGGGAGGGTATGTGCTATGGTGAGTGCTGTGAAGTGTATAAAACTGGCGATTCACAGACCTGTACCCGTGGGGATAAAAATATATTATATATTTATAAAAAATAAAATTAAAAAAAAAAAGAATGTCAAGGATCTATTACACAATGATACTCTCTTTCTTACATCAAAAAAGGAAAATAAAAACCATATGACCATTTCTATAGATGCAGAAAAAGTATTTGACCAAGTACAGCATCCATTCATGATAAAAACTCTCAAGAAAGTAGAGATTGAGGAAACGTATCTCAACAAAATAAAGGCCAGATTTGAAAAACTCATACCTAATATCATCCCCAGTGGAGAAAAACTGAAAGCTTTTCCTCTATATTCAGGAAATAAGACAGGAATGTCCACTCTCACCACTGTTGTTCAATACAGTACTGGAAATCCCAGCCATAGCAATCAGACAACACAAAGAAATAAAAGGCATCCAAATCAGCAAGGAGGAAGTCAAGCTATCACTATTTGTAGATGGCATAGAGAAAACACTAAAACTGCACTAAAAAATTGCTAGAACTGATACACAAATTCAGTAAAGTCGCAGGATACAAAATCAACATATAGAAGTCTGTTGCATTTCTGTACAACAATGACATGGCAGAAAGAGCTACCAGGAATCAATCCCATTTACAAAAGCACCAAAAATGATAAAATACCTAGGAATAAACCTAACCAAAGAGGCCAAAGATCTGTAATCTGCAAACTGTAAAACATTGATGAAAGAAATTGAAGATGACTCAAAGAAATGAAAAAAACATTCCATGTTCATGGACTGGAAGAACAAATATTGTTAAAATGTCTATATTACCTAAAGCAATCTATGTAGTACATGCAATTCTTATCAAAATAACAACAACATTTTTCACAGAACTAGAACAACCAACCCTAAAATTTGCATGTATTCACAAAAGACCCAGAAAAGCAAAAAGCAATCTTGAAAAAGAAAAGCAACACTAGAGGCATCACAATTACAGTCCTCAAGTTATATTATAAAGCTGTAGTGAGCAATACAGTATAATACTGGCACAAAAACAGACACACAGTTCAACAGGACAGAACAGAAAACCAAGAAATGGACCCACAACTATATGGTGAATTAATCCTCGACAAAGCAGGAAAGAACAGCCAGTGGAAAAAAGTCTCTTCAACAAATGGTGTTGGGAAAACTGGACAGCAACATGCAGAAGAATGAAACTGGGACACTTTCTTACACCATACATAAAAAGAAACTCAAAATGGACTGAAGACCTAAATGTGAGACCTAAACTATAAAAATCCTAGAAGAGACCACAGGCAGTAACTTCTCTGACATCTGCCATAACAACTTTTTTCTAGATAGGTCCTCTGAGCCAAGGCAACAAAAGGAAAAATAAACTATCAGGACTACATCAAAATGAAGTTTCTGCACAGTGAAAGAAGCAATCAACAAAACTTAAAAGGCAACCTACAGAATGGGAAAAGAAATTTACAAATGATATATATATATATATATATGATAAAGGATTAGTAATCTAAGTACATAAAGAAATTATAAAACTCAACACTCCCTCAAAAAATAATCCAATTAAAAAATGGGTAGAAGACATGAATAGACGTTGTTCCAAAGAATACATCCACATGGCCAAAAAACACATCAGAAGATGGTCATTACCACTTACCATCAGGGAAATGCAAATCAAAACTACAATAAGATATCACCTCACATTTGTCAGAATGACTAAAATCAACAACACAAGAAACAACAGGTGTTAGATATAGAGAAAAAGGAACCCTGTTGCTGTGTTGACAGAAATGCAAACTGGTGCCGCCATGGTGGAAAACAGTATGGCAGTGCCCCTAAAGGTTAAAAACAGAACTACCCTAGGATCCTGCAATCACACTACAGGTTGTTTACCCAAAGAATACAAAAACAATAATTTAAAGGGCCATGTACCCCTATGTTTAGAGCAGCATTATTTACAGCAGTTGATATATGGAAGCAGACCAAGTGGCCATCAACTGATGAATGACTAAAGAAGATGTGATACACACACACACACACACACACACACACACACACACATGGAATATTATTCAGCTATAAAAAAGAATGAAATCTTGCAATCTACAATAACATGGATGGAGCTAAAGGTTAAAATGCTAACTAAGCAGATTAAGTCAGTGAGAGAAAGACAAATACCATATGATTTCAATCTTATGTGGAATTCAAGAAACAAATGAGCTAAGTGAAAAAATAGAGAGGCATGACAAGAAACAGAATCTTAACTATAAAGAGCAAACTGATTGTTACCACAGGACAGGTGGGTGGGGAAATGGGTAAAATAGGTCATAGGGATTAAGGAGTGCGCTTATGATGAGCACCTGCTGAATTATGTAGAGAATGGCTGAATCACTATATGGTATACCTGAAACTAATATAAAAGTGTATGTTAACTGGAAAATAAAAACTTTTTTAAAAAATGAATTTTCTCACTTAGAGACACTTAAAATATTACTTCCCAATATTCTCTCTGATTTTTGAAAATATATCCCCAAAGCAATTATTTTTATTTCAAAATTATAATTTTCCATTTTGCTACACTGAATATTATCTAAGAAGAGTTAGAAGAACACTGGAGTAGAATTAAATAATCCTGGGATTTGATCTTGGGTGCCAGCACTATCTAGGCTACATGTGGTCTTTTTTTTTTTTTTTTAAAGATTTTATTTATTTATTTGACAGAGAGATCACAAGTAGGCAGAGAGGCAGGCAGAGAGAGAGGAGGAAGCAGGCTCCCCGCCGAGCAGAGAGCCCGATGCGGGGCTCGATCCCAGGATTCTGAGATCATGACCTGAGCCGAAGGCAGCGGCTTAACCCACTGAGCCACCCAGGCACCCCAAGGCTACATGTGGTCTTGACATTTTTCAAGCCATGTGACTTTCAACAAATTAATCTCTATAATGAAGATTCTATAAAAACTGCAACTGAATACTATCCACTCTATCCTAGCACAGGATGGTTGTGAAGAATCAAGTCATTAATGTAGCATGTTATTATCACCATTATCATATAAGCAGAGAAAACTGAAAGTTACATTTTAAAAAAGGCAAACCATCTTATTATCAATTGACTTTTGGCAACCAACGTCATATATTGGCTTCTTCTGAATAGATGTGAGTAAGAAGGCATTAACTCAGTGTATCCTAAATAAATACTTTTCATACCTGGCGTAACAAAACACTTCCACATGTTGAATGGTTTTGTCCTTCCTGCTAAGAGCAATGGCTTCTTCATTTTCAAGAATCTGCTCTTGCCATGCTGGGCTTTCATTCACAATGTCACTGTTTTCCTAAATAAAACACAGACGAGAAATTTTTATTAAATTACACAATGTGAACCTCTACTTTTTTGTGAAAATGTATACCTTTCTCAATTAATGCTCTGCCTTTGATGCCATCAAAATTCTGAAGTGACTCCAGAATGGTGTGCCATCTTCAAAGGAAAGAGAAGAAATTTGTGTAAAATCCTACCCTATCAAATGCTAGCTCTGGTTTACACCTTTCTAGCAGGATATCTAACAGTATGATGCAGTCACTGGATGTGCCTGTTTTGACATTATTTAAGAACTAGGACAACTAACCCTCTTTCTGCTGAAAATCAAGTGTGTCTGGTATACATATTACTTGTTATTAATAAAGTTTTTGCATTTTGTTATCCAAATTCAGGCTCACAATTACTTCCTTCTACTTTTAGGTCTTTGAAGTTTAGTCACTAGCCATGTCAAATTTTGATTATATGTAAAAGTATATTTGAAAAGTATTCAGCCCACTATAACTGAGGACTGTATAAAAACCAACCTCTAAATATTCTATTTTCAGAAAGACAATAAAAACAATAATGCATGATAATGTATGTAAACTTATAAGGGTGGAAAGTGGCCCTTCAAAAATTTTAACAATTCCTAATTACATTTTATGGAGATAAATTATATATACAGCAGTATTTGAATACAGGGGATTTCTGGAAATGTCAAGATATGCCTTTTCCAAATGTCAAGGATCAATTTTTAATCTGTTTAAAATTTTAAAGTATTCGGTACACATTTCTCAGAGAAAAAATTTTTTGAATATATATTTTCAAAAAACTAGTAGTGAAACAAAAAGTAGTGAAATATAACTACAATATTCTTTGTTTTAAGTAAATTCACTTCAACGAATTTCTAAACTTATAGATTTCATAAAGTAGGACAATAATTATTTTAAAAGGCTTTTTTTCTCAGGGCACCTGGGTGGCTTAGTCAGTTAAGCATCTGACTCTTGGTTTTAGCTCAGGTCATTATCTCAGGGTCCTGGGATGAAAACTCCAGTTAAGCTCTGTGCTCAGCAGGGTGTCTTCTTCCCCACTGTCTCTCCCTCTGCCCCTCCCCCAGCTCAGGCACTCTCTCTTAAATACATCTTAAAAAAGGGCTTTTTCTCCTGAATTTAACATTTTAAACTGTAGCAAAATAGGGTAGACATCTCTTCTTACTAAGTGTAATTATTAGATTATGTTAAACATACCAACATAGGTAGAAAAGGAGGTGAAATACAGAACTCTGAATGTGTAGACATGGGGTTACCAACCTGAAGACAAGATTATGGATCAGGAAAGAGTGAAGGGGAAAGGATATGGTGAAAGAGGATGCTGGAGTAGAAGAACTTAAAAAAATATTTTTCAAAAATATTCAATATTTTAAATATTTTAATATTTTTAATATTTTAATATTAATATTTTTAATAGATCTAACCTATTATCAAAATTTATTTTATAAAATTCCCTTTACTCATCAGAAGTTTTCCATTCAGACAACCAAGGTATATTTGTTGCTTTGTTGTGAGCATCTAGACTAAATTTTCTCATGGAAGTGCTAAATACACTAAGATAGCCCTTACACATACTTCCTAAGAATAAGGTTCAAAATAGGGTTTCTGATCAACACAAAAACATGAATATTTAAGGCACATACATAAAATGTCTTTGTTATGACTAGAAGAACCTTTTAAGTCACCTTCCATCAATAAATTAGTACAACTACAATGCTTATAGTGGTGCTTGGCACATGGTAAGTGTTTAATAGTCTTAGCTATATTATTTTCAGCTAACTGAATACAATTTTCTAGAATATATCATACTCCTTTCCCAACTGTCTAAACTCTTGAGATATAGCAATTTTTGATTTCATGTATGATGCTCTCAATAGGAAATTCATTTCAATCCACATGTACCATTCACATAAAATTGGGACAATTTTTTTAATGTCATAAAAATCCATGAACTCCATGACATAACCTACTCCCCATATTACTATGCTGTACAGGTCCTCTAAAAAACTTCCTTACAATGATATCTAATAGTTGTAGTAGGGAGATCCAAAAACTTACCAAATTCATATTAAATTTTTCCTTGCTTTTTGTTTTTACTGATTCTGTCAGGTGACTTCTATAAATACACAAACTACCAATGACTCAGACCATTTCAAAGTAATGTATTTTCCCCTGAATAGTTGGGGTTTTTTCTCAAAATATACTACTGAAAGAGCAACTAGTAATATGTGAGATTTTAGAAGGACTGAAATTTTTTTTCTGAAAGGCTATTTTGGAGAAAAAAAAATCTTGCCTTACATTTGGGAATGTAATGAGAAAATGGTATCAAGTATATATGATGTACTCTTCAGCCAACATATCTAAGTATATTTAAAAAGCAGTATCTATATTTTGAAAGCATTGGAAGAACATTAACTAAAAAGATGACTACATAATTTTTCTTAAATAAATAAAAATGAGGCATCAATCCTATATTACAGAAGCTTAGGGTTTTAATCAATGTAGGGTTATTATGTGATACCAAATACAACCTAGTAGATTAAAAATCAACTAAAAAGGTTACCTGGTATTCCTTTAGCCAGGACAGTATTCCTGAAAAGCTAAAACTGGCCCAGTTTCCTCCATAGTAGCTTCTTCTGTAACAATAAAAAAATAAGAGTAAAGAAAAGGGTATAAAAATTAAGCCACTGATCTCCATCAGCAAACCACCCCGTACCCTTCAAATCATTTCAGTATTGCCACCTCAGAGTTCAAAACATAATTGGGATGCTGGAAATACTAGGCTGAAATAAAAGTTGGCCTCTCCAAACCCAAAGTTAACTTTCCATTGTATAAGGAAAAAAATCTCTTTGGTCTCCTTAGAGCTTTCGCCACTGATCAAATGCCACTGATCATGTGATTGTGAACAGCTTGATATGGGCATTGAGCACGGAATATAAACAAAATTTGACTCCTGGGTGAAAACAAAATGGCTGGGGAGAAAACCTTGGTAGATCTCAAGGAAAGCCAATGGAAAAAACTATTAAGTTTTCTGTAAAAAACTAAATATCCACTGTCCCCACCACCACCAAACCCATAACTCATGCCAACATACACACTCACACACACACACAAATGGCTACTCTAGAGGTAGTGGCCCTGTGTTACTCTTAGCCTTCAGGGCCAAAAATAAAAGTAGCTTCTGGGACACAGTTATTCACTTTTGTAGTAAGTAAAACAAGAACAATATCCCCACTAATAACTGGGTGAACTATTATTCTTCATTCTATAATCCTGTGAAGAACATCATTCTGTTTTAGAGGACCCAGAGGTCTCCTAACTAGGATCAGGTAAGCCTTGTAGACATTGGAGTTCTTATTAACTTCCTTAAGTAAGAGACTTGTGGCAACCAGAATTCTCTAATTCAGTACTACATATCTGTACTGGGGCTTCCCAGTTCTTATAAAACTCTTCACATTTATTCTTTGTATTATGAGCCCCAAAGTACACTCAGTTCTACCTACAACATCTGGTTCTGGGGTGGGAAAGATTCTTGGTTCTGTTTTTTGTTTTCACTTTTCCTTCTCTGTATTTTTCTCTAATGAAATAAAATCTATAAAAGCTCTTTTTAAAATGACATGAAAACAAAAACCTTTAATATCCAAAATCACTCATCCATAGTGCTACTGGAGATCCCCTCAATCTTCTGATATATTTCTCCTCAAACAAATGTTGACAGGCCTGCAGAACAGTCAGACTTAAGGTTCAAGTATTTTACCAATAATCACTGTTTTTGCTCTAATAGAGAAAATGGTTAAGCTGAGTATCTGTGAAAATAGGTCTATTAATACAGATCACTGCTTTAGTTATAATCTGATCTCTTGAAGATAATGCAAATTCATTCACCATTCAAAATCTCTAATGGCTTTAAAATTTAGGTAGGTTTTCACTTATATTAACAATTCTAGATGGCCACCCTTGCTAACATGTTGGGATCAGGAGACATGGAAGCTCTGATCCCCTGGGTCAGAGAAAACAGTGGAAGGAGAAGGTGGGCAACAGCCAGTATACAGAAGAGGGAGGAGTGAAGACAGAGGAGTGTTATAACTAGTGGTATTTCCCATAGAAATTTATACCCTCTTCTCCCTTGCCTGAGAATAATATACACTTCTGCCATCCCTTCCCACTCTCTAAATATAACACTCAACAAACTAGAAAACATCCAGTGATGTTAAAAAAAAAAACAACTGTCTTTATAATTTTTGTTAAGATATTTAGATTTCTTTTAAGCCACCTTATAGTCATAAATAAGAAGCTCTGACCGTTGGGTAAAAGTTTTAAGATTGAAGTCAATTTATTTGATACATCAATTTATAAGTAATAAATATACATTAGAAATCTGACACTAGGATACACAAAGGTTTCTTAGATAACACACAGCAATAAAACTACTAGTAAAGTGGAATTCATGAAAATGAAAAAGTTCTACACTAAATACATCATAAAAATGAATGGGCTAGCCACAAACTAGAAGAAAATAGTCATAAAACATATCTGACAAAAAGACTGGTATCCAGGATATTTAAAGATCTTTTTCAACTTAATAATATGACAAATATTCAAATTTTAAAATGTGCAAAGGGCTTGAACAGACATTTCATAAAGGAAAATAGATATGATTAATGAGCACATTAACAAGGTGCTCAACATCATTAGTCATTAGATAAGTACACATTAGTCTATGGCCATACCACCCTGAACACGCCCAGTCTCTGTGATCAGGGAAGCTAAGCAGGGTTGGGTCAGGTTAGTACTTGGATGGGAGATAAGTACACATTTTAAAAAAGCATTAAAAATGAAAGTAATGAAATACTACTACACATCCACCAGAACAGTTAAAATTAAAAGGCTGACAATACCAGGTGTTGGTGTGGATGGCCAGAATACTCATACCTTTTGGTGGGAGTGTAAAATGGTAAAAATACTTTGGAAAACTGGCAGTTTCAGAAAAAAACTAAACATGTATCTACCCTATGATCCAGTAACTCCATTCCTAGGTATTTACAAACCAGGAAAGTATATGTTCACAAAATACTTACACAAGCTTTTTCATAGTAGCTTTGTTATTTTCTTTTTAAAGATTTTATTTATTTGACAGACAGAGATCACAAATAGGCAGAGAGGCAGGTGGTGGGGGCAGGGGGAGCCCGTGAAGCAGTACCCCCCCCCGCTCCCCCCCCTCCCCCACGAAGCAGACTCCCTGCTGAGCAGAGCAGGGCTCCATCCCAGGACCCTGAGATCACAACCTTAGCCAAAGGCAAAGGCTTTAAACCACTGAGCCACCCAGGAGCCCTAGCTTTTTTAATAGCTCTGAACTGATCAGAATTCAGATATCCATCAACGGGTGAATGGATAAATAAGCTGAGGTTTATCTATAGGATTGATACTATTCACCAACAAAAACGAATACTGGCAACAAAAGAGATGAATCTCACAGCTAAGTGAAAGAAGCTTTTACCCAAAAAGAGTACATTCTGAATGATTCCATCTATATGACATTCTAGAACAAGTTAATTATAATAAAAAATATCCCAAGAGTGACTGGGTGGGAGTAAGTGCAGGACTTGACTTGGCTGGGGCATGAGAGAACTTTCTAGAGCAAAGACCATATTATATTATTTCAGTAAGATTCTTAGTTACATAAGTGTATGCATTTCCCAAAACTTACTAAATGGCACAAAGATCTGTGTTTTCACTGCATCTAATTTTACCTAAAAGAAAAAGACCCATAAATATTGAACTTAATAATATCAATGCTGAAGTGTTCCAGACTGAAGGTACTTGACTGTGTACAACTTACTTTGAAATATACAAAAGACAGAATAATAAATGGAAAGAAAAATGAATACATGGGCAGTGATATAATAAAGCAAATACAGTGAAATGTTAATAGTAGAATCTAGGTAGTCATAGATATTCATAGTACAATTTTTTCAAATTTTCTGTCCGAAAATTATAATAAATTATCAGGAAAAAAAGTAACCTGAGTTTTCAAACATGGACCAAGATGTGCCAATTTCCACAGTACTTTCTGCTATTATCAAAAGCCTAAAAATAGTCTAAAAGAAAACCATCTTGCTGTTTCTTTCCATTATTAAATGACCTAAGGTCAGTTCATGGTCAAAATCTTTTTTCCCCTATATTTGGTCATGTTTTCCGAGAGCTAACTGGTTCTAGTATTTTTCCATGCAGCTCACATTTTCAACTTTTCCTGTTGATATGCTCTTAACCTTAGCAGCTGGTGATCTGATCCAATGTACATAAAAGGTGAAACATGGTTTTCATTACTGTGGTACTTCTGACAAAAGAGGGTAACATAATTATTAATAAACTCACTATAAAACCAACACAGATTTTTATTAAGTTCATTTTGGTATTTGTAAAGTTCTAAGTATGGTTTGTAATACCCCTTAGAGAGAAAACAAAAGACTTTAGGTATCAAAATCAATATGGCAAAAAGAAAATGAAAAAAAATCAATGTAACATTCTAATATGCTCCCTAGGAAAACTATTCCAATGAAATAGTAAAAATTAAAGTTCACCAAATATTTTCTTAAATTTTATCTTTAAAAATACAGCTTCAGAACTATGACAAATTCAAGTTATAAAATATTATTTCTACTCTCTTTAGAAGTGTTTCTGCAGGGAATAACAAAGCTAGGTTATGGTTATTATTATTTTTTTAAAGATTTTTTATTTATTTATTTGAGAGAGAGACAGTGAGAGAGAGCATGAGTGAGAAGGTCAGAGAGAGAAGCAGACTCCCTGTGGAGCTGGGAGCCTGATGCGGGACTCGATCCTGGGACTCCAGGATCATGAACTGAGCGGAAGGCAGTCGTCCAACCAACTGAGCCACCCAGGCGTCCCTGGTTATTATTTTTAAAACCCCATAGATACAATTTATTTTAAGGACAAAGTGAGAACCTCCTGACATTAAAAAAAAAAAAAAGAAAAAAGGGTAATGGAAGATTTTCTGCCAATTTTGTGTCACAACTGCCTCTGTACATCAAATAAAGGAAAAAGTAGTAGTTGTTGTTTTTTTTTTAAAGATTTATTTATTTATTTATTTGACAGAGAGAGAGAGAGAGAGAGAGAGAGAGATAGATCACAAGTAGGCAGAGAGGCAGGCAGAGAGAGAGAAGAGGAAGCAGGCTCTCCGCCAAGCAGAGAGCCCGACGCGGGACTCGATCCCAGGACCCCGAAATCATGACCCGAGCAGAAGGCAGAGGCCCAACCCACTGAGCCACCCAGATGCCCAAAGAAAAAGTAGTTTATGATGAAGGATGATGTGTATCTCTAATGCCAGGGAATGCTATTTTATATGGTAAAAAGAGTTCCTTAAAACTAGAGTTTCTTTGTGGAACTAGAAAAAGACTGTTCACTGTATTTAAACAGCAAATATAAAACTAATCTGTAGGGTGGCTAGGTGGCTAGGTGGCTCAGTTGGTTATGTGGCCAGCTCTTGATTTTGGCTCAGATCATGATCTACCTGGGATCGAGTTCCAAATCTGGCTCTGTGCTTGGTGGGGAAGTATGCTTGTCTCCCTCCCCTTCTACCCCTCCCCACCATTTATACACGTGTGCTCTCTCACAAATA